GGAGAGTCCCCCTCCCTATGACCACGTGTCAGGGGCGGAAAATGGCCGTGGACCATGTGTCAGGGGTGGAAAAATGGCCGCAGACCATGTGTCAGGGGCGGAAAATGGCCGCAGACCACGTGTCAGGGGCGCAAAAATGGCTGCGGACCGTGTCACGGGAGGGAAAATGGCCGCGTATCCGAGGCGGAATTCGCAAACCGAGGCAAAATTTTGTGGCCGGAGCTGGTCGTAACCCGAAAAGTTCATTAACAGAAGCATTGGTAACCCGAGGTTCCACTGTATTTGCTTAGAAAAAGGTCTGAAGAAACAATGATCTGGTTTAGATCTATTCATGTGTACACATAGGAATAGAATAAATATAAATGTGAAATGTTTATGATGAAGACAATGAATGTTTGTTATAAAAACCTGAATTACTGAAGCATACAGTGATAATGAGAAGTTCTCAGTGTGGGATAGACCATTTCTTGGTAGTACCAGAAGTAGGAAAAATAGCCATGGAAGAAAAGGGAATAAAAACTAGAATCAAAGAATGACTGAAGAGAAAGTATGAGTTCTGTAAGATAAAATATTAGAAGATAAGCTAACCTTTCTGGAATGAATGGAAAGTGGACATAGAGGATGTGAATGCTGCTTTGAATACAGTGGAAAGAATGTTATATTGTGCCATCAAAGTGTGTGGAGTTATACTAATGGGAATTACAAAAAAGGATACTGGAATGATGAAATGATAATTCAAGACATTTCTGAACTGACCAAAGGACACCCTTCCAGATGTAAAACAGCTGCTTCAAACTCAAAATGGAGCTCTTCAAATTTTAAACAGTTCAAATTCAAAATGAAATGAATATTCTATTCATTTTTCTTGACCCAGAAGAGGGACAATAGAAACTAGAACAAGGCAGGGAAACTGAGATGACCCTTTGAACTTTATGGCCCCTATTAATTTCCTTCCACCTTAATTTTTATCATTTCTGAGGGCAATCATTAGCCAGGCAACACGCGGCAAGTTTATATTCCTATTGTTCAAAGGGCAGAGTTACTGCAAGAGTGGTCAAAACTGTATAGATTTCCAACTTTTTCATAAGCTTTACTATTATTACACTTTTTTTCACACAGAAGTTATCTTACTGCATGTTTTCTAAGAGGTCATTTTTGCTAGAATTTGAGTAGATCCTTCCGAACATATAGTTGCCATCAACATTATTATGTCAGCTGGATGAAATATTCTTTATTGTGAGGCCATATGCCACTGAATACTAGTTGTTAGGAGGTGGGAGACAGGGACTGCTGTTTTCACAAGATGCCTGTCCATTTCTTAGAACC